TCGTCACGATCGCAAAAGTCCTTCTTGGTGCTTCGATGTTTTTGCAAAAGAGTTATATAAATATATCTATAAATCTGTAACACAATCTCTTCGCCTAGAATCATTTGTAGTCTTGCAAAACGAACCTCCTTTTCTTTTTTATAAATTATCTAATTACACTGTTGTTTTGACAGACATGTGGTCCGCGGATCATAGTGAATTTATTGATGTGGGCCTCAGGCGTGAAAGGTTGAAGACCCCTAATCTAAATGAAAATAACATTTTTGTCTAATTATCGCCAAGGGCAAAATAATTAAATGTGTTTCAGGCATTTATGCTCTTTACTCCAAAATGCCTGGTACGTACAAGTAGCTATAAGGAAGTGGGTTGATTAATGCTACCGGTTGTTTCGGGAGGTGACCAAAGAGGAATGCTAGTCTGTGATTTTGACAGACTGTAGTGGACTAAATACATGAAGAACTTTCTTGCAGAAAGAGGAATATATCTGATAATGATTCCACAAGCTTGACTACCTATCTTTACATTCTTGATACTGAAATGTGTGTCGGCAATATATTACGAGCTGGACAAAAGTGCTCATTTACGGAGACCTCTTCCTCATAAGAGATTAGGTCCAATGATTTTCCAGGGAAAAACATCGCAAGGAATTCAAGCCGGAATTCGGGTTTGGCGACATTTTAGAAGAAGGCCCCGAGATTATACATGAAAAAAATGCAAATTTGAGTACATGAATGTTAAATAAATGTAGAATCGTATATATGAATGTATGAATAAACCATATTATTGGTAATGGATAAACATAAGTTGTTGCGGTTGGAAAATAAAGACATTCTCAGAAAATAAGTCCTAAAGCATTTTGGGGCCAAAACATTTAAGTAAGATAAATGCATCGGGAAAGTGAAGCAAAGGAATTTTCAGTTCAGCTGAAGAATTTTATTATAATGAGTTTTCATAAAATCAAGTGAAGTAGACCTCTCTAAAACATAATCACGCAAAGTCAGGAGACGGCCAGACGTAATTTGACACATGACAGGAAAGTACATGACAAGAAATACGCTTATGTATACTGCCTTTTTATGCCTTCATGTTTTTGGAGCGTAACTATTTGTTCTGATCATCTCTTAGCAAGATTTTTACTGCACGTTTCTGATGAAGAATATGATGGCTACATTTCAATATAAGTTATTTCAAGATGAATGACTACTAGAATAATGCCATGCTGCAACATTAGTCAGTATTCCTCTGCAGATCCAAACTACTCAACATACATTTTAGAATATAATTACTGCATTAATTCTTCACAATGAGCATTTTCCTTTTAGGGTTGAATAAATCTGGATATTTCTTAGTGTTGTATTTCAGATGATATGAAATTTGTATTTTATATTTGCTTTTCTTTAATTTTATTTGCTTAATGTCTTTCGAAATTCAGTCTTATTGTAAGTTTTATTTCTTGGAAGTGCCAACAAAACAGTAGGAATTTTGGTTTTACTAATAAACATATTGTAAATTATATACCGAAAGAATCTTTTGTGTTTAGACGTCTTAGGAAAATTCGATACGGTCGAGGGAAAATCACGAACTAAGCTTATTAAAAAATATTACTTATTTACATGAGTGATGTTTTATTATCCAGGCCTATATTCAAACATAAATAAAGTTTTAGAATTCCAAACAAGCCCCTGTAGCAGAAAATCTTCCATTACGCGTCAAAAACATTTATTACGGTACAAGGGTATTAGTTTACTTTGACGAGAGACTAAGAAACATATTCTAAAGTATCATTTATGTTTCAAAATAGGTATGGATCTTAAATAAAACATCATTTATAAAAATAATAAAAATTCTTTAATACGTATACTGCATTTGCGACAGGATTCGAATCTGCAGTCTTCTGACTTCAAATGAGAAAACTACAGTTTGCGAGTTCTTTTAATTTATTTTACCCTTTAAGTTCTTTCATCTTTTACTTTTAAGTTCTTTACTCTTTTCCTTTTAATTTCAAAATTTTGTGTTAAATTTCAAAGGTTTTACTTTTGAAAATTTCCAGTATGTTAAGTTTATTACGAATAACTTACGGTAGGAGAATTTTGGATTTCAAATGCTGTGTAATTTATTGTTTATGGGTACTTTTATTTAATTTACTTCCTTAATGTTTTTCGGCCACTAATAATTATTGCTACTTTTGTTTCTTGAAACAAAACAGCTTTTCGAATAAATTAAAAATATGTGTGTTTAGTAAGCTTACAAAAGTATGATTTATTTAAAATTTCCAAACATGAATGATACTTTAGAATATTATTAGTCTCTAGAATGCGTGTTACGCTGCTAGCGTAATGGTTTATTTTGACTCTTAAGTAAGACTTACTTATAAACAATAAAACTGTTAAGTCGATAAAACTTTCTTCAGAGTCTAATTATTTTTATTATATTTTTGATGAATGAGGTTTCTCCTCAAAATTGCGCAATGTGGAACTTAACACTGTACTCAAATGTAAAGACGTAATGTAATAAAATGCTATTTCTAAAATTTTCATGTCTTATGGAAATACCAATGCAACATTATGATCGTAGCTTAAGAACAAAGGTATTACAGACAAATATGTTCATAAAGAAGGTTATGACATGATACTTATAATAATAATTTCTAGATTTGGCGCCTAGTCTAATTCTAAACTATGAGAATGTTAAAATAAGAAATGTATAATAGCAGCAGTTACTTATGCAGTAAAAAAAAAGGGTAGAGAATTTTAAAAGGATACATTGCTTAATTATTACATCTCTTTCCTATAATTCTATAAATGTTTCTAAGTTAAGAAACCAACGACGAAAGTTTACTTTTTAAATTTATTTTGTCGAAATGTTAGTTTTTCAAGAAGAGGGGAAATTCTCATTTCTAAACGGTAACAAGTCTTGAATTTAAAGGCCTCTAGAGTTTTAATTTTTCCCGTTTTGTCAATAAACGTTATGAAGAATGTATTTGGATGAAATGCATTCGCTATGATTAAGCTGAAAAGTATCATCTGAAATTTGTATACTTGTTGTTTAGAAAAACTATGAGCATTAATTAAAATGCAAGAAAATTGCAAAAGTAACACGAACTGATAGTTGTTGAATATAATTTTTTTTTTATCGGAATTGTCTATAATAAAATGTTAAAGGAAATTTTTAATTATAATGTTGTAAAACGTTTTAAAGCAATATCACTGCGATGCAGTTAAAAATAATCCTGATTTTTAAATATACATTTCGTCATTTCTTTTCCTATAACAGAAAGGTGCAAAATATATTATATTTAGATAGTAACTAGATAAAATGTAGTCTTTTGTCTGTTTCGGGATTAAGTCTTTTGTCTGTTCCAAGGGTAGGCTCTACTGAAAAGACTGAGTGGCTAATTATCGCAGTGTCTTTGAAGATACTGTAGAAGAAGGTTTAAACATTTTTTTCATTTGACCTAAACTTAACAAAGTTTGTACTCACTCGGTGCTCACATGTGGTTAAGTAACTCGAACAGAACATAAAAATGTAAAATCACAATAAAATAAGATGGGCTACACAAGTGGCTCCTTAATTATCTAAACCACTAAATCGGCGGTAAACAGCAAAGCCGAGCCCAGAATGTGAATGTGATCTAAAGCGAGTGGCTAAGCAACAACTATTTACATACAAAGCTAATTCAAACACACCGCATCAATTTGGAACTAACTCTTCTGGTACTCTTAAAACCGCTGCATAGATACTGCTTCCGAACTCACTTAGATTTGCATACTACGCCACTAAATTTTACATCATGGCAAGAAACTGAAATCAGAAGAGAAAAAGAAGTTTCACAATTAAAAATTATTAGTTACAATCAAATAAAGTCTTTACAAAACATTTAATGAAAAATGAATGCGAAATCCTTATGAAATTTGATCCAATTATATAATACACTTTGCAATTTTACTGTACACGTGTAAATTATACATTTGAAATTCATCTTGAAATTAGTATTGCTTTGAATTCAATTTTCATTAGGGAAAAAGAGAGATATATATGCTTCCCATGGCAATTACGACACATGAGCCATTTAAGCAAATTTTGTGAGAATGACTATCGGAATCACATGGCAAAATGGTATCCCACTCGCTTGCAGACGACTAGGTATATTTTTCACGTCTATTTGGATCTTATATTTTCAAAATAATGCATAATTTAGCGCAATACCTGGAGAAAGAGAGAGAAGACTCATCTAGGACTTTTCGCAGTCTAAATGAAAGTAAGAAGATTCAACGTATTCACAAATGTTAAATTAAATTTTCGGAGCTGATACTTATGCAAAGTCAATGCATAAGCAATTTCAATAAGTAACAAGTAAGATGCTACTTTAGTTATACAAAGCACTGCAGATACTTTTGCAGATGATTGGATTACAAAGTTTCCTAGGCACTTCTGTAGATGGTAGAGTAATGGATGTTAGATTTAGAGGTTTCCTTTGCTGTCCGGCTAGATTAAATACATGTTATGAATATCATTTGTTCATAAAGGAGAAACGATGCTATAGAAGTGTTCATATTGCAGCAACTAAAAACATCACGGGCCCTCGTATGTTAATCTCGTGCTTATTCTTGCCAATCGAATTCAACAGAAAGATACATTTATGTTGCAATGCATTTAATTTATATAATTATAATAAATATATTTCGTTTTAAGTAAATATACTCGTTTTGTATTAAAATGGGCAAAACTTCTTCAAAGATATTCAGGAAACATTTAATGTTATTTGAAATAAAGGTCTTAAAAGTATAAACTTAGAAATGAATGATTTGAAACACAACCTATTTAGTAAATATTAATTTGGGATTTCTGATAATGTTTCGATATTTTGGGAATTATATGAAGTTAAATAAAGTGAATTTAAAAAATTAAATCAGGGAGCAATATCGATCAGTTATTATTTTATACAACAAAGAATTTAAGTCTTGTAATATTAATTATGGGAAAGTAATATAATAATATACCTCACTTAAAGCCACCCAGTGATCCATCTCCTCCTCAATGTATATCCGTAACATCTTCACAGGGCCTACAGTAGGTATAATAGATCCTTCAGCAACACCAGATGCGTCAGTGAAGCCACCAACCATTAGGAACCTATCAGATGTGTTGGGATATGGAATAAGCTCTGGTATCTTTGGAGTGACAGCTGGGAGCACATGGACGGACGCATTAATAAGAATGTCATCTGGATGTTCAGGTGAACCACTTTTGAAGAAATACCTAGTTAAAAATTAAATAATATAATACCATACTTCGCTTCATTTAAATCTGTATTTGATAAAGAAAGAAGCATTATTAAAAATGAAAAAATAAATTGATTTGTTTGTTGCAGTCACATCAACAACCTGAATATCATCAAAGGAAAGGAAATAAAAAAGGAAAATGTCCTTCCATTAATTAATCTAAGTCATTGTATCAAGACATTAAAGCGATATGAGTATTAAATTTAAGAAAAAAAGACTGGCACATGTTTTGGATCATTCCAAACATTGTCGTTTTTACCAAAAGTAACTTATTAAATCATTTACAAATTGTTCTTCTTTCGAATAAGCAGGCGTTTACCGAAGCCATTGATTAAAGATATTCAAAGGAAACGTACTCTACATCAGTGGTCGCCAAATTTATGACTTATCTGAGATATTCTATTATTTTAAAATCCTACTGTGAGCTATTAACCAAAAGAGATAATTTTTTTAAGAAATCTTACATGTGTTTATTGCCTATAAACTTACATTTCTGGTAAATATAAAATAAATGTTGATTAAACTCTATATAACCAAATAAACTGAAACTGAATTGTACATAAGAAAGAAATTGAAGTGTAGTTACTAATAAACAACACAAGTCATGACAGATTTTTTTATAAGACTTATTAACTTTCCTGAGAAGGATGGATCTATTCTTTTGTCATCAACACGTTTTTTAGTGTTGGGAGAGTAGGTGGCTGCCACTCGAATGCAGTTATCCAAGTGTATAAACACACATTTGTCCTTTGCCTGAGTAATGAAGTCATCGATTTCCGGTTCCGAATGAAAGTGATAAGTTTTTGCTTGAACACGCCATCGTTAGAACAGACCTAGCTTGGCACCGATGCGTAAATCAAACTATCCAAGTTAGTAACGCATAATATACACACAAAAAACGCAACATGCACAACCTCACACGTATACAGTCACGTATGGGATGATGCTAATAACGGCAGTAGCGCAGAAGAAACAAGCAGTTGTCATCAGCGTCAGCTCAATGAAGAAATCAAGGTTAGCCAATCGCGTTAGCGCGATCTACGCAAAATGTACCCGAGAGCTACTAGTAGCTCGTGATCGACGGTTTGGCAATCACTGCTCTACATATATATTTTTAACCATTTCATCACAAACACGAATAATAAGAACGCGCAACATTGCGTAGTAGATATTAAACCGGCAAAAAGCGGAGAAAGTAGAATAAAAATAGCCTTAGACTTCGCCACTTCGCCACTTAGACTTCGAACTCATTATCACCCTTCAGTTATCCATCATACTACCGAGGAGGGCATTCATATAAACTAAACCTTTAATAATAGCATCTAAAATCAAATTTAAATATTTGAAAATGTGGATTAATTTTGTAATTATATTGCTGTTTAAAGCAATATACAAATATAAATACAAACTTACAATAATCATAATTTCAAGTTCGTTGTCCATTTAAAAGCCGTAATTCAATAGAGAGAGGCTTAAAAACATTTTATGCTAAAATTAAAATATTATAAAAATACACGACTGTTATAATTTCGTACACAAAAATTTAATATTTATTTACGATTAATTTGTACATTATATGTTAATGTTCTTTACATAATAAAATATATGAATAAATTTAGCGAATTTATTAAACAATCAAATAATTATGCATATACTCATTTATTATTGTTTTAATTACAAGAACAGGCTCATGCCGAATGTCGGTTATATTTTTGTAAAATTAAAAGAAAATCAGAGAAATCACAAAAGAAATTCCTGTCAAGCGACTTCGTTTCCTGGCTGAGAAGATTTTGTTGTCAAAGATTTAGGAAAATTAACCTATTATCTTCGTATAAATATCTAAAAATCTAAAAATGAAAACTTCGCGAAAATTTTAAAAAATTGAAGAAACAGTTCAGACACTCTAATTTCAAGGTGAAAAGCCGAGATATACACTAATGAAAACAAACTATTGAAATTTAGAAGATGATGATAGTCTGCTAGAATGTATGAAATATAGTTAAACTTTAAGGATATTGCTACATATCGCTACAGATACCCAATCAGATACAGCGTGTGTCGTTTACTGTGAAAAAGAAACGATCAACGTCGAACAACGAATTGGAATGCTGTCACGAAAGTCATTTGACTCAACAAGAACATAAAACTCAACAAAATATAACTCATATTCAGATGCAGAGTGAGCAAACGATAATGTATTATTATTAAATCCGTCAGTCAAATTAACGATAGTTCATGAAGTGCCAAAATGCGAAACTGCAAGGAATTGTCCTTAACTGAAACCGGGGACTTTGCATCAACCAGTTTGACTCAAGAGGAACTATGTTTCCAAATAACATTAAACTCGACATAATCCAAAACATTATATCCAAAGCTGATAAGGTTGGGCAGGTCATTGTTACGTTCAAATGCACTGAACTGCCGCCCAACCGGGATAGTGGTTAGTGATGCTGACTGCCGTACCTAAGGGAAGGGGTTCGACTCCCGGAGAACGCATGGATGCTTGTAAATCTATAATGTCTCTGCGGCACGGGTGCAATCTAAATATGCGATGAGCCGAAATTCGTCTAGTGAGGTTAGCAGTAGGGAAAGAGGGGTGTCAGACCCTCGAAACAGCTTCCCAGAGTGCTCTCCTTCAAAACTGTGGGGAGTGAGCAGCGGAATTGAGCAGTGTCTTACCATTCACCTGTATGGTGCTCAAGACTCTTGCCAACGACAAGCGCAATCTTCCATTCATTGCCACGATGAATTTCGTTGGTTTGTTATGGTGTTATTTTCAGACAAGTGAGATAACTCACAACACAACATACTAATGGTGTCACGAAACCGGAAGCGAAGGTGCATGCTGCTTGACCTCTCAAAAGTAAAAAATCTAAGGCATCTTATATATCCTCATTAAACTAACGTTCCCTTTGAGGGAGCGTTATGTTATAAAATGTCTTTGAACCAGATTTCAATAACTGAATTTCATGCTTGAAACTGAGGAGTTAATTTCTTTCACTAAAGCCAAACTCACTTCTTTCAAGATTAGCTGTTGACTATTTCCTGTATTCAGAACTCGCTATTTTGAGATAAAACATTTGGAAAATTGTGCTCACGGCTCTTGTTTCTACGCTGATCGAACTTTCATGTTTTTTTTACAGTAATAAAGATTTTTTGATTTGTGACGTAGAAAAAAGAAATTCTTTTACACTTAACTTTTAACTCTTTAAAACTGACTAAACTGGTGCCGCGACAAAAAATAAATAAATAAATATAAATAAATAAATAAATAAATAAATAAATAAAATAAAAAATAATAAAAAAAAAAAAACTAAACTACATCAGTGATCCGCAACCGGTGTGCCTAGGGATTAGGTGTGCCGCAATCAAATACATGTATTTGACATTTGCAATTTTTTATCAGTATTTAATACACAGTGACATTTTTTTCTCTTAATAATGTCTATTTTAATGTTTTTATTTTTCACTGTTGTGTGGTGTGTGTGTGATAGTAAGTGTGTCAGCATTTGAATTTTTTCGACACTTCCTTGATAATCGGAACTCTTTTGTGTGCCACGAAATTCCAGAAGTTTTTTTGCGTCGAAGGTGAGAAAATTTGCGGAGCATGATTACCTAATCAAAACTTAATCTAAGAAACATCAAAGGAGAATCCTCACTGGGTGTTTTGGTAAAAACAAAGATTATTTGTCAAACCGAATGCGAAAATGCTTCAACAACAAAATCTTTAACATGCTATCTCTCACTAAATTAAAACTAATTTAGATCTCCAACCTGAAAACACGTAAATTCCAATGCAAAATATAGAGATAGCCTTAAACCCTTAACATTTCAAATACCACACAGATCTCTTCAAAACACCAGGGAAAGATACAATCTCACAATTTAGAAGTCTACTCATCAAATCAAAATAAATTCAGTAAACCGATCTATAGTCACCAACTCTTAAAACTGATTTTTTTCTTCCTACTACCGCAATATAAATACCCAGGTTCTAAAATAACCATGTTCCGTAAGGATCACATGGGTGACTACACAATCAACCTTCAAAGAAACATACAATAATAAAAAGTAATAAACACATTTATTAATAATTCCAGAATTCACATCTTATAATTCAAGATAGCTGGCCAGACTACACCTACAAAAATCTTTTAAAGTTACTCATAGTTTTTTTTTCATATCAGTCTCACATTAAACATTATTCATTAATACAAAAATCATAGTGAAACATGTCGCAGTTCTTAACCATTTTAAACAGGAACTAAAGAAGTTTAAACTCATTTATAAAAGCTAATTTAGAATAAATCATATTTCTTCAACTGTGACACATCAGCATGTTCATTCTCGGTCAAGTGAAATTACATGAACATAGCACTTAAACATTAAAACAAAGATTCATTCCGCCAATTAGTTCAATTAATTCTGACTAAACATTAATAAAAAAATTACCTTTTCAGCTAGAAATTAGTAACAATAAATATTCAATTTTCATCTACCTAAAATGGACGGCTCATGCTTCATTAAAACATTTCCAAATTTATAAAGATTAATTTCAAAAGAAAAGCACCAATGAAAATATAAAGTAACTCACGAAATCAGATGCACATCTGAGAGATCAGGGAGCTGCCCGGACAGTCACAAAACGCGAAACAATAATGCCAAATCTTCATCGTTTTCAGGAACGACTTTTTCATAGTTTCCAGCTAACTCCGTCCAAGCGGATTTTAACTCACAAAATACTCCCGATTTAAGTTCCACTTAAAAAAAGAAGGAGGTCGAACTGGAGACACAACCAAGGCAGATCAGGAGATGACGACTTTCCATATTTCCATATTTTCCAAAACAAAATAGAATTCCAGCACGAGCAGTTCAGACTCTTCCAATTGCAAAAAGATATCAACGACGAAATTGAAAATATAGGCCGCAGGACAGAATCGCGCCATCAAACGAAGCACCGCACTATATCGACAGTTTCGCAACGAAATATTGAGATA